GAACAAGATCTACGCTCTTGAAGTCGTTTTCGGCGGGTTTGTGCCAGTTGTGAGGTTTGTTGAGAGAAGGCTCCTGCTCTCGTAACCATAGAGTGCATATGGCGGTGGCACATGATTTCGCGCGTAGGCAACGCTTGCAGTGGCAGAAGTGATCGTCCGTTACGATTGAAGGAAACGAAACAAAAAATGTCCCACTAAAAATGGTTAGGCGTAAAAGCCTCAAGCTCATTTGAGTCACTGCTAATGGGGGTAAGTGATGAAACTGTTGAACGAGGCAGAGAATTATTTGAGGAATTTTATCAGTCGTTTGAAGAAGTGAGGATCGAGTAGAACTACGTACAGAGTCTTGCAACTACGAACAGTTCGTTCCCACGAGCCATCATGGTGTGGCGCGGATGGACGGTTGTTTTTCCATTCTATTTCTTCAATTATAAAATCAGACCAGATAATTGATGGGGTTCGATGTCTTGCGATGAATCTTTCCACTGCCATCACTTAATAGCTAGCGTCCATTGTCAGAACTACTTCTAGGTGGATGGCTCTTGTAGTCAATTAGGTGAACAAAAAGCCCTGCTTCTCTCGAAACTCCGGCGAACCGTCACATAAAATGATCCAAAGTAGTTTACGCGGCAGTTATTAAACGGCGCCTGCCGGTATTCCAAGGGCTCGACTGGTAGTTCAAACATAAAGTTTTCACATTCCGTTTACGGCACATCACGAAGTTGATAGTGGTAAAAACGGCAGATCAATGTAAAATAAATTCCAGAAACGTTTTCGACATAAAAGTCATCATCAGCCAATCTAAAAAACAAAGCACCTGTAAAGCCGGAATGGAAATGGATGTGTAGAAATTACAAAAAATGTATGAAAACTAACATTAAAAAGAATATAAAAACAGCATCAGTTAAGACTCGAGTTAGTCATGTGACTAAAACAAACGGACTTAAAAAACCTCACAACTTGACTGTGAGGTACCGCTGCCGGTATTCCTCGCACGTGTTGAAGGCAGGTGTTCTCCTCGAAATATAAAGCGCTTCTAAGGTCAAAAATTTATTCGTGTCTAAGCATCTGTCCAAAATTCTTGCCTCAACTCCAGCCTTGTCTGCTCCGCATTTCTTTAGACGACTACCAATCGGGGCAGAGTCCCTAAGGTAATCAGTTTTTCGGGTGATCAGGTACCGGACGGTCTGTCCAACATAGCAGGAATTGCATCCTGGACAAGATATCTCATAAACCACCCTACTCGTCAAATACCTAGTAAAATCTGTTTTCAAAGTGGGAAGACAGGTTCTGAGTTTGCGGGTCGTGAATATTGTAGAAATACCCCAGTTTTGCAGCCTTTTCGCGAAAAAATCAGACCCTTTTCCTCGATACTGGAGCGGGATAACTGGTTTCTCGATACTTTCAGGCTTTATTGAATTGGTTGTTGCTTGTGTGGTCGTGTCCTGGTTTTCCTTTATTTTAAGAAGAGAATCTGTCACTATGGTTTCATAAAAAGCTGGAGAAAACTGATTTGCTTCCCAATCATTTTTTTGCTTTCCTCAAACCTTTATCAAAGTCCTCCCAAGTGGAAGTGGAGTGATCAATTCTGTGCACGGTGCCCTGAACAATGTTTCTCTTGTATTTTGTTGGCGCACAGGCGTGAAACCCAAGGGTGAGTCCAGTGTCTGTAGGTTTACTGAACCATTCTGTGCTGATAGTACGGCCGGACTGTCTAATAAGCATATCGAGAAAAGGAAGCGTCCCATTGAGCTGTAATTCTATTGTGAACTCCAGGTTTGGATGTATCGTATTCACATATGATAACAGGCGATCAATCTCAGCATCCTTGACCGAACGCAGGATGTCATCTACGTACCTACCAAATTTTTTGCTTTAGGTCTGGACGATACTGCACCGCAACCACAGTTCCAATAATTATCATCCATACCTTTGAGCTGGCGGATGGTTAAATTGGTGCATTTAAGATGAAACCATCGGTCACAGTCATCACAGCAAATAGAAAAACCTTCATCCAGGACCTCCAACGTGCACTTGCCACAGGGATAGCTGTCTTGTGAACCATTGCTGTTGAAGTTATCATGTGGTTGTCTGCTGATTCTCTCTTCGAAACTTTTCATCCAGATATTGGCAAGAATGACTGCTAAAGAAGGACTCATCGCTAACCCATCAGTTTGGATATACCATCTGCCATCACACATAAACTTGTAAACTTTTGAAGAAGATATTACAGCAAGACGGGATTTGGAAGATTTTTTTTTGGATTACACGAAATTGAGCTCAATAATGCGAAGAAAGGTCCTCAATTTCCAGTGGGTATAATCAAATTGGACGACAGAACGTAGATAGTCCAGAGATTTTTTTTTATTGTAATCAGAAGGTCAAAAGTATCATAGTAACCGAGGTTACAGTCATGAGTCCCTTCATCATGTATTCCAGTCAAAATCCTTGGATATTTTTAGATATGGAAGTGATAATGATAAAAGAAGATGACAAGTGTTTAAGTCTTTTCAATTAAAATCGACACGGGTTACGTTTCTTCAATAAGAATACGCAACTCGACACGAGATAATATAATATAAAAGTGTTACAAGTAAAAAATTTTGTCGAAAGTTATTTTGTCATTTATTGTTCTGAGTACGCAAGCGGCGTTCGCAATCTGTATTGCCAGGGAGATTCTCTGTTTTAAAAAGCTGCCTACTCTGGGTTCCTCAGTGCATATGCTTAGGTTCTTACAAGTCTTGCTGAAAAAAAATTCTGTGCTGGGGCCGGCCGCGCCCTGAATTTCAAAAGCTAGCGGTTGGAAAAGATATCCATCATTTACAAGATCTTTATAATTGTCAATTTTTCGCCCTTCCGGTTCAGCGGCAGCCGTACCAGGGTTACAAAGAGACCCGGCATTAATCCTATTAGGAGCTAAGGAGTCTACTACCGTTACATCCCACAAGAGCTGCTTACCGAGATTGTCAATGACATCCGAGATTTTTTCAAGCTCCTTAATTTTTTCGTCGAGCAATTCTTTTCGGCAAAGTTCGCCGATTGGAGATCCTAAAATGAGGAGTTCTTCTTTTGTTTTTATTTTTATTTTGGGGCATATTTTTCGAAATTGTGCTAAAATTGAATTATACTGTGTACTGGTAGTCAGTCACAAAAAACAAAGTTCACACTTCTCAGTGTTTAAGCTCAGGCCGTAAACTTGTTCCGATTTCAGAATGTTTTGAAGGTCCCGGAGTACTACCTTATAATCGTCGGCTAAATTTCCATCATCTAAATACCAGATGTTATTTTTTGACTCCAACTGTTTGACTAGTGTATGAATTGTTTCCGCAAAAAATGGTGGGGCTTCAGGATCACCTTGCTGAGTTCCGTCTTCTGACATTATGACAGAGCTTCCGTAAAAAAGGTAACTAAATTTACCATACGCGCAATGGGTGTAATTATACAATTCGGGGCGATTTGAATAAACATGATTCAGCATTGTTTCTCTGTTTAAAGAGTTAAAGGCATTCTTAAAATCTAGTTTTAAAAGAACAGTGCATTTTGGATTGTCGTCGCGTTCAATTAGGTTTCGAAACGAGTGCGCGGCTATTTCTGCTCCTCGTTTGGTACCGCATCCTACCTGTACGTTTTCGAAAAAAGTTTGTCGCTCGGAGAGGGCCTTGCTTCCAGCTCATTTAGACGCGATACGTCTCAGCGTGTTGCCTATGGCAATCGGTCTCAACCCTCCGTCTATTTTTATGAGGGCGATAAGCTTTGCGCCAAAAAAGAAAGGTCTTAGTGGTTCGAGTATTTTGCCATCTCCAATGAGGTTTATCAGCTTAGTAAGCGATTTCAGAAAATTAAGTCCTGCACTGCCATTCGACTTACTAACAAGATCTTTAAAAATTTGAGGAAATATTTTATCAGGACTTGCTGCTGATCCGTTTGGAAAGGACATTATCGCTTTGTATAGGTCGAAATCGGTTACGAAAAAACTATCCAACTTTTCTGGATTTGGAGCTGCAAATTTGGCTCGCTGCGGGTGCTTAGACAACAATTTTTGATAGTTATCAGTTGAAAATGGAGCTATTTTGTCCTCGAAGCAGCAAGCCTCATTCCTCCCTTTATATTTCCTTCATCGAGCTTACTACTTATTAACTTTATTCTCTGCTCGAGGTCACTCAGAGGCGGGCTTGAAACTTGGGGATGGGGTTTTGGAAGTGACACGTCATTTGCTCGAATTTTTTTTATTTATCATTGAACTCATGCTTGTGGTCTGTTTGCGTCCACTTCTTTTCGGTTGCTCCAAAAAAAAACAAGAACGACGCTAAAAAACGTTAGCCAATTTGTAACATCTTCTACATTGTAGACGATGTCATTTATTTTGTCCGACAGACTTTCCGCCAAGGGAACACGCGAGTCTTTTGGTACTCTTTTGAGTACTCGGACATTTGAGATGGCTGTATTAACATAATTGTCTAGCACTAAAGCATTACCTATTGTTGCTTTATTAACAGATTTTACATCATTGCATAAAAGACACTGAAACCATTGGTTTTTCTTAGAGTCGCTAAGAGAAATATTTACACAATTGATATGATACCAACTAGAACAACAATCACATCTAATCCAATTTATCAGTCCTGAAGGTTTTAAGCAATCTTTGCTTGTACACTCTTTGTTGTTTTTCCTCATCTTGACGCAGCATAAAGGTAAAAAAAAGGATTTTGACTGGATTTTAGGGGACTGAACTGAGCCATGATAAGCGGTTAGTGGGAATTTTACAAATCAGCAAATAAAAAAAACAACTAAATTAATTTAAATTTTAAAATCGAATTATAAATATCAAAAACAAGGAACAAACTCACCCGAGCTCAGTAGGTCCAGCGGCGCACCACCAGACTCCTCAAGCCAGCTCCAGTTTCCCACCTCCCCACAGAAAGCCACTTGACAGACCTGTCTCTAAAATCCCTCAGAGGGCGCTCCTAATACAGGCACAAACATCAAACATAACAAATCTATTTAATAAGTTTATCACAACAATTAGGCTAAAAGATTTGTTATGTGTGATGTTTGTGATTTGTTATGTTTGATGTTTGTGCCTGTATGTGGAGCGCCCTCTGAGGGATTTTAGAGAACTAACGTTTGAAATTTTTGAGCTTTTTTCTTAATAACCTTTTTTCACGTCCAGAGGTTGCTGCCCGTGCAGGTTGTGGATATATTTTTTTTACAAATAACTTATTAAGAGGCGATGAGTCATAAGTTTTGTTCTTCATTCGATTTCACAACAAAGACGGCTTCTGCGACTTGTGGACCAGAGAAAACCACCAGGATCGATGATGGGCAGAGATGTAAAACAATAATTGTTTAGGGCCATTATGGCCATACCATACCATACAATAATTGGAGGGCGCTAATATTATTAGGGCAATAGTTTATGGGAAAAAAATTCCATTTCAACTCATTATTGTGCAATTATGGAAACCGAGCTGTGCAGTTTTGTTTACTGAGTATTTACTGTGTAAACATATTTACATTATTTACTGAGTAAACATACACTAATCCCAGTGCATGTTTACTTCAGTGGGATTTTCACTGAATACCGGAAGAAATTGAGCCCTGTCAATCTTGAAGCCCAAGTTTTTCTGCATTGTAACGCCGGTTATTGGGATGTTAGCACAGTTGCAGCAATTTTGAATAAAGACTAGATTTTTCGGAAGTAAAATCCAGCTTTTTGTTTAATGGTTTTGTTGAATTTACCATACTCACCCCTATTTTTCCATAATTGCCATAATTGCAATAATTTATTGGAGGCGCAGCAGCCATAACAATAATGGAATTTCGGTGTGCAATAATATTGCCATACCATATTTTACATCCCTGATGATGGGAGAGAGTTGCAATCTGTTTTTCACAAGTTTCCCAGAATTTAAATTCTGACGCGAATGCTTCTCTTTGTGAGATAAGCAAACGTTTCTCTTTTTTTTTTGCTTTTTCGAGCTCAGAATGTGTGACAATTCTAAGTGTTGCTTCTCGGTAATGTATCTCGGCTGTATCATTTACTTGTTCGCACTTTTTCTTGATCTTGGATCATTTTGTATATATTGTCATAAATGTTAATACTGATGAAGCTGAAAATAGGCGAAAACGTTCGAACTAACATTTGAAATTTTTGATCTTTTTTTAACCTTTTTTTTTAAACTAAAACCTAATTTAAACACTTTTCTATCCATAAAATATCTTATTTGACAATTAAAATATGCATCGTTTCCTCAAAACTTCTTGATATCCGTTAGCGCGAAGCCGCACCACGTAATCTGAGGAGACTATCAGAATCTAACGGTAACTTTTTCAGGAATTTGAGCTTCTTTGAAATTTGATATGCTATCAGTTTTAATTGACAAAGAGCCATTTTCCCTAGACTGTGCCCCAAATGGTGCGGCCGTGGCAGTTTGTGGAAATAATCTACTGAATGTATATGATTTCTCCGATGGGATTTTCAAACTTCAAGTATCATCTGCATACGATCAAAAGCGAAGAATAACTTACCAGGACGTCTCATGGAATCAGATTGACAGTTCTCTAATTGCAGTTGGAACAAGTACAACTCATGTCATTGTAAAGAGTTTTTCTCCTTCACGTTTAAACACTTTACATAGTTATGAAAACAGAGTTGAACGAAGTGTTAGCTCTCTTAGTTTCCATCCGCATGATCGGAATCTGTTATTGGTCTCGGCTCGTGACGAAGTAGTTCTACTAGATCTAAGGCAATCTGAAACGCGAATGAAAGTGAAATATAAAAATAGTGTACAAAAAGTAAGTTGGAATCCTCATCGGGATAACCAGTTTGCTGCTTGCCTTGAAAATTGCATCGAGGTCATTGATTTGACAGCTCAAAGTAGTTTCGCCTCATCCTCGAAATCTGACAAGTTTTTTGGTCACGATGGACCTGTGTTCTGTTGCGATTGGCACCCGAATAAACGCGACACATTGGCTTCAGGTGGTCGTGACTGCTACATTAAGGTTTGGAACGTTACAGAATCTAGACAATCACAGCAGTCTATTAAGTTTTTCTTGCCGGTTGACTGCATAAAATGGCGTCCGTCATCTAATGAACATATTGTTTCAGCTGCCAGTACTTTTGACCAAAACATTTTGTGCTGGAACATCAATCGTCCTTTCCTTCCCAGTCATTCCTTCGGAGGGCATTCCAGGAAGGTTTCAAAGTTTTGCTTTTATGACAAATCTATTGACTCTTTTCTTTCGGTCGGAGGTGACAAAACATTGAGGCACCATAGCTTCGACAATGCCCTTGTCCCTGAGACATGCACTGTGCCTTACAATGTGAAGTTTTCGTCAATTGCGGATCTCTGTGAGGTTGAAGCACATACTGATGGTCCGCTGTCAGGGGAGTCTATAATAACTGATTTGACCAGGTCTGATGATCGAGACCCGTTTTTAACTTGTCTGAAGCAATATAAGTTAAATCACAATGAACCTGTCGCGTCGTGTGAGATGAATGCAAAAGTTGCCAGTGCATGTTCACTAACTCATGTCGCCGAGACATGGAAACTCCTATCAAAAATATTTCCAAAGTCGCAAAGGTCGATATCCAAATCGCGAAATGCTTCGGCTAATACGGAGAAAAATGTAGCTGCTCAAAAGATGAGGCCTGTAGAATCTAAGCAGGCAGCCTTTATCAAACCACCTGAGTGGCATAATTTCAGCGAGACCTCAACTGAAGCCAGTGACTTTGACTGGGGAAACATGAAACGGCAGAATGAGTCATCGCGGCCAGTCGGGGTTTTGGGGTTGGTTCCTCATAACCCGTACAATACACAGCATGACCTCAAAGAGAAAACAGCCGTGCTTGCTATCAGTCACGATGAAGACAGTCAAACTGAAATTGAAGAAGATGATACGCTACAAAGTAATGTCCGATTCGCTTTCATAGTTAAGGCTGCGCCCATTACTGTTCGAGCGGATAATCAATTAAGTGCTGTTCAAAGTAATTCACTGCTGCCTTTTGCCACGCCTTTTTCGGGCCAAAAGCCCTCCTTAAAATTTCTGTTTTCTTTGCTGAAAGATTTGATCGAGAGACTTGGCCAAATTCAGTTCGCAGTGTCAGCTTTGATTATTTTACAAAATGAATTCAAGTTCCCTGATTGCAGTGGTTCTGACGTCTGCGGTGATGGAGAAATCCTGTTGTCTTTCAAAGATTGGATTCTGTCGTATCATAACTTACTCAGCTCAATGGGCCTCTACGTGGAAGCTTGTGATATCAGCACGCGGTTTCCTATCTCCAACTTTCGAGAGAAAGTGGGAAAGTTTGAGCGTCATTACTTGAAGAAGCATTGCGACGAAAAGTGCAAATATGGCTGTGATGTGTGCTTAGATCGAATAATTGATAGACATTCCAACATGCAAATGAAGTTGAGGTCTACGTGCTGTAAGTCATCGTTTATCAATCGACGGTGCTCGAAGTGCCTTAAGTGCGCAAAATGTGCGTACTGTAAGCAGCCTGTGAAAAGTCTGTTTGTTTGGTGTCAGGGATGTGGCCATGGAGGTCATTTGCACCACATGGAACAGTATTTTAGGGAAAATGTTACCTGTTTGATTCCTTCATGTAGTCATAAGTGCGAGTTCTCCTGACACCAATTTTCTTGTATTGAATTAAATTGTTCATTGGACTCAGATTGAATTTTTTGTTTTCTATATTTGAAACTATCTATTTTGTGGAAAATTATATCTAGTTTTGTACTCCAGAGTTGAATTATCCTCGAAATTAGCAAATGTTAGAAGAAGAAAATCTATTGATTATTGTTTGGGTTTGTACTCGTGGAGTGTTGAGACTCACTGAAATGCATTAATTGCATTCAAATAGCGACTAATCTGTTGTCTTTTTCAGGTAGCTAGTTTTCAGAAGTATTGTTTTCAGTTTTGAATGGACAGTATAGTTGATTCGAGTTTTCTAGACAAGATCAACGGATGCGCGGGAGGAAATTTTGACGACGATGACGAGAAGGACGATGACGAGGAAGAACGACAGAAAGAAATGTTGGCAATGCTAGAGCAGCAACTACCCGATGATCTGTTGGACGACAGCTGCACTGATGATGACGAAGAAGAAATTGACTTGACCCAAGATCAGTCTCAGATGTCAGAGGAGGATAATCAAGGCTCACCAATGCACAATTCAGATGCAGAAGATATGAGGGATGATGGATACCCCGAAGGCGAGGAGAACGATGGGTTCGAGCATATAAAACTCATAAATGGACAAGAGGTAAATAAAACTAAATATTGAGTAATCGACATTTTTCTCGAACTGTTTTCAGTTCTGAATGAAGTACTCTAATTATGTGATTACTATTGATTTTTTTATGTGAACATGTTTCAGTTTCGGCCAACGCACGATCTCTACCAGATGACTCCGCAGAAGCAAATTGGTGAGCATTAGATTCACAGATTTCTTGTGGCAAATGTGGCTTCACCATGATTTAACCTAATGTTCGTTTTCAGTCAATACCAGATACGATACAAACGAGTTGCTGGATATGGTCGGAGCAGCAGATGACAATAACGAACCTCATAGGAGCGTCAAAAGCCCTGTTGGAGGATCTCAGTCGCCCAAGAAAGCACTTAACAACAATAACTACCATTCAGTTCCAATAGCTTTTAATCAAGCGCCCGTTCCCTACCAACAGCCCATGAAACCTACTAATTTTTCCACAGTCTCAGCAATTTCTGAGAACTTTGAAAATGAAGTTCATGACCAAAGAACACCTAATAAACAATTGGTTAATACTTACAATCCCACTTCTGAATTTCGGCCGCCTCAAGCATCAACTGCCATTCGCGGAAATGAGGTGACGCCGCCTCCAAATCAACAACATCCAGAAGCGTTCAGGAGACGAGACATGCAGCTACAAAATGTCAACGAGAATCATCCTGGGGGTTCGTACCTGTCATCGGCAAGTAGCAATGCCAACTCTTGGTCTTTCGAAGTGTTTGGCAAAAACCCGAACAAATCCCCAGAGAAGCGATCGCCTAGCGCTCAAAGTCAACCTCAAAGAAATCAACCTCAACAGAGTGGACAGAACGAGCATATGCTTGATGAAAGCTACCGAAATTATGATTTTGGTAATGGGGATTACCCAGAGAGAGTCTTCTACAGGCCAAGGAATTCAACAGCACAGCATCATTTGAGCAATTCCATGGATGCCAATAACATCACCCCTCCACGTAGGAACCCACGGGCTACCTTCATGGAAGCGGGGGGAGTTACAAATGACCAGCAACTGGTACAGCTGAACATCTTGTACGAAGCGAGAGGGAAACGAATTGAAGAGTTACAGGCTGAGTTGGAAGCGAAGACAGCGGATAGTGCTAAACAAATTCGGATCTTGCAACATCAGCTCAGTATTTCAGACGGTAAGAAAAGAATTATTCATGCCCTGGAAAGCTGATTTTTTTGAGATATGAAGATTCCTGTATTCTCACTTTTATAATTTAAGCAAGAATATAAGCAAATATGAAGATTCCTGTATTCGCACTTAAAAAATTTAAGCAAGAATTTAAGCAAAATATTATCATGTGTTTCGACTTTTGTTGTTAGAAAGTGCAACTGGGCTGAAGACGTCTCTGGACACTGCAATGGCTGGCCAATATGAGCTGAAGAACCAGTTGGATCAATTGCAGAGAACAGTTAGGAGCAGAGACAAGCAGATTGAGTCGTTGTCCACAGCCAAGCAGGAGGTAGCTACTTCTGATAGTTTAAATCCATTGAGACTGATTTTGAAAATGAGAAGAAAATATCTGCGAAGGATATGGTCCGAATAATGTATAGTAGTGTAAATTTTTCTTATCATTGAAGCATATTCAATAGTGATTGCATCTGTCTATAAATCTAATTGCAACTCAATTGTGGCCGTGTCCGCGATTCTCAGAGGATCTATGAATGGCTGCCCAGCCTGTCAAAGCTTGCTGCTTTATAGGCTGAACAGAAGGTACAAGTTATGGAGCGGACAGTGGCCAGTCTGAACAGCCAGATGGAGGAGATGTGTAGGTCAGACATGGTCAGCAGATCGCGAGAGCAGCACGAGACAGCAGTCAGATCTCTCACCCACAAACATCAGAATGAACTGCGCAACCTCAATCAGCAGATCGTGGCACTACAGGTACCTTATAAACTCACCAAGTAGCTATTAATCTAGTTTTGTACAATATTCGACTAGGGACAATCGTGTATGTCAATTTTATCCTGGAAGATATTTTTATATTTTTACAGTTGCCAATAGAAAAATTATCGCTCAAAAATAAAACGGTTTTCAAAATGTGAATTAAATTGTTGTCATGAAGATTTCATGAAGATCTCATCTCGGCTGTTCAACAGGTGAGTGTGGAGCAGAAGAGTGATGAGGTGGATAAGTTGGCGTCTGAGTTGGCGGACGTGGAGAAGGTGCGGTCGAGTGAGAAAGTGCGACAGGCAGATGTGGTCAACAAACTCACACAGTCACTAGAGGACAGCCAGCGACAGTGCAGAGACCTACTAAACACGAGTGAGTACATTAGCGTAGCTCAGCAGTAGAAAGCTTGCCATATATCATTTATGGTATAGGAAACAACCAAGATTTCAAATGGTTTTTTCTTAAGTTTAAAGAAAGCTAGATGTAATCGTCTTTGAAGCCATTCAAATTGATTTAACTGAACTTGGAAGTGTTAAAATGAGTTAGTTTTTGAAATAATCCTAGTTTTTGAGGTGATGTGTTAGTTATTGTGTGTGAAAATGAGCCTTCATTTGTTTGGCTCTAGATTCAGCAGTGGAAACAGCGAGTCTGCAGTCCCAACTGAAGCAGATCACAATGTCTAAGAAGATGAGCGACCAAATAGGGAAGATGTTGCAAGATGAGGTGAATGACCTGAGGACCCAGTTGGCCCAATACGAGGCGGTGTCCTCCCTCAAACTGGGCATATTCCCCTCTATTGAGAAGGGATTGAAGGGAGATGGACTGGATGAGCAGGATATGCACGATGAGAGTGTACTCAATGCCACGTCCACTATGCCTAATAGAGATTCAGCTTCTGATAGGTAGATTACAATTACAAGGAAATTTCCTCGGAATATGAAACAGTATTTTGGTAATCATAAAATTAGACGAAAATGTCTCAAACTGTTAAGAGTCGATGAACGTAGGAGATGACAAGGAGATAGTCTTATTTTCGTTCGATTCGAGTTGAAGCAAGGGGGGCGTTCAACAGTGCCGAAGTACAGCAGTGCCGAAAAAGGCGGGAAAATTTCAGAATAATTTAAACGCATTTTTCAAAGAGCGAGAAATTACTGACGCTAATTATCAAATAAAATCACTCCAATTTCGGCGCCAAAGTGTCTGCAACTGCAAATTAAACAATTATTTTTGGGAGGGGGTTAGGAAATTAGACGATAGCAAATTAGAAGCGAAAGCGAATTTAGACGTTAAATTATTTTTGCAAAACTAGCATTTTAGACGGAAAGCAAAGGGCTAACAAAACCTATTGCTTAAAACAAGTTTTCATAATTACAAAAATAATATATGATCCCATTTTATATCAAAATATTTATCTCGATTGATTTATAAAATGTGAATTTCAAGATTATAAAACATTTTTGAAATGCATAAATTACACAATTGCGGCATGTCAAAAATGCGGAATGTGAAAATTGCGACATGTGAAAAGTTGATTTGCACGAGTTGATTTGATAAGCTGAACGAAAGTTAATTGTAGTCGGTGAGCAAATTTCAGACATGAACAATACAATTACGTCTAATTTCCCATATTTGTAATTTGCATCGACGTCTAAATTCGTTTTTGTTGGTCACGTCTAATTTGCTTTTCGTCTAATTTCCATGGCCCCATTATTTTGGCGCCAAAACGTCTAAGTTGCAAAATTTCTCTCCCAACATTTTTAAGTGCCGCTTAAGATTGTAAACGTTCGCCGTTCAATTTTTGATTGCCGCACTTATTATGTTGAAATTTGTTCATATTTTCGGCACTGTTGAACAAAGTTTTCATTTTCGGCAAGGTTGAACTAAATTTTTTTTCGGCACTGTTGTACTTCCCCGAAGCAAGTTAGAAACAATTATTCGTTTACCGCCTAATTCGTTCAATTACCTATCAGAATCCCTTCATTTTGTTTGTTCTTAGATTTCCCAGCGGAATAAAAACTGTTCCTTCTTATCCAGGTTTCTCACCTTGGGTTAATTTTATCAAAAAAGTGCCGATTTTAAATTGCTCTGAAAGCTCGAAGAGTTTTAAGGCCATATAATTTTTTGTTGAAATTCGAAAATTGAGATCATTTTTTTGTTTTTTTTGCCTTTATTGACTCTTTTCAAATCGTCTGTTGGCCATGTTTTATAAATACAGAAGCATTAATATTTTTGTCTGAAGTACGTGCGATATCCAATTTTTAGAATTTTGAAACTCTTTTTGATCAAGAAAGAATGAGATCTCCATATCATTTGATTGATAGAATATGATAGAATACTTTCATTTTGAGTTTTCTTTCTAGGGTAACTATTCGTTGAACTAGTTGTTGGTTGAACGAAAGGGGAATGCTCAGCTTAAGTGTTTAGACTGCTGGCCAAGAGATTACCGTAGAAACGCATTGCCATTTTGTGTTGGGTTAGATTCATAATATTATTACTGTTGATTGCTTCTGCTTCAGTGAATACATTCAGAAACTGAAGAACGAGCTGGAGAAATGTCTGATCAACAACTTCTCAAAGCGCAACAGAATCGACAAACTGAACAAGGAATTAGAAAAGTGTCAGGAGAGTCTGACTGCTGTGAAATGGGACCAGGCCCAGGTTGAGAAAGAGAAGAGAGACTTGGAGCTGAAGAATGCACTTCTCATGCAGCAGAAGAGTGAAAGTGTTGGTAGTCGGAAGTCGAGTGAGAGAGAAGCGAAGTCGTCCCAGGTGGAGACGGAGAAAATGCGATCGGAACTGGAAAATATCATTAAAGTAAGTTAACATTTGCTCAATTTAATAAATCCTGTGCGTCTGAATTTTGAAAATGATTGTCATCAAATGCATACTTTTTAAGGTGAAAACGTTCATGTTCTCGAATATTTTATTGTTCGTTTGAAAATTGTTTCATTGTTGTTTTGCGTACTCTTTTAAGTCTGAGGAGTATGTCGTGATTTACCATTTTTAGTTCGAATATTTGGCAAAAATTAAGGTAAAGGACGTCACCTACCAAATGGGTACATCTACTAACAATCAATACTTTGTCCGGACTAACATTTCTGAAAACTTCTCGCAGTTTTAGTCACCACGGTCATTCAATTAACTGAATTACTTGCCACTTAAATGAATAATAGCTGATCTGTTTTGATAACAGAATATTGGCCATGCTTTTTGTCATGTGAGCTGTGTTTTTTGTGTGACCATTTTCCAAAAACTTGCTTACAATTTTACTAGATAACAAAAATTGAGTGCTTTTTAGGAACTGGAGGACAAAATGTCAAACGAACAGGAGAAGTTCGAAGGCCTCTCGACTGAAATGGTCCAAAAGTTGACGGACTACGAAAAAGAGAAGCAAGAGTCCATTGAGAGGTTGGAATCAATGCTGATTTTCGCTTTCATAATTGAACCACTGTTTGTTTTGTGATTCGGTTACCTAATTTTCTCCTTTTTGTGCTGCTTAGAGGAGCTAATCTGATTGCTTATTTGAGCAGTCTAATTGAGGGTTTACATTGCTCTTGATTTTGCCTGTCAATCAAGCATGGTAAGAATAAGTTCATGTCGTATCATTTTTCGATTGCTTAAGCAGTCATGTGTGTTCATTTCCAGGCCGAATCATGCAAAAATTGAAACCCTTTAGCATGCGATTTCTTTTCTTGGGCTGCATTTGTTTCAGCAAAAACAAAATAATCCTTTGCTTAGTTTGAGGGCTAGCTTTGATTAATATATCTATCTAATTTGTTGATGAAGTAGTAACTGTTAATTTAGGACGCGTAATACGTGCCTGACGATGCACGAAGATGCACAGGAGAATCTGAGGGCAGAACTGGGCAGATACTACGAGCAAGAGAAACAGCAGATAGTGCAGAGCTTCGAAGCCGAACTTGAAGAACTCAGGTAAAATTAGAGACGTGTTCTTTGCGTAGGCCATGATTGTGAAGGGACAATATGAGTGGATTGGGAAGATAAATAAGAAAGGCTCTTTGTGTCCTCGACGCTTTGGAGCTAATCTGAAAAAGTCGACCCTGAAATGTTCCTGATATCTTAAACAAACTTCATTGCTTTCTAAAGGAAATTGAATTTGAATTGCAGGGAGAAGCTGAAATCTACAGCTGAAGAATGTGATTATGCGAAGAGTTGTTTCGTCAAATTGAGCGAAGAGACAAAAATGGCAGAACAGCAGAAGAGTAAGTATCAATCAGACTAAATATTAATACCCAGCAAACATACGGTAATTCAGAAGCATACGGTTTGACAAGTTTGAATTTCATATTCATTCTATTAAATTTAGATCTGGAACGGTTTGAAACATGTACCCAAACTGAAGACGATGCAGTGAGTGAATCAGCGGAAGATGAAAAGAAGAAACTAGCCGAGGAAATAGTTGAGTTGGAAACCAAGATCGAGTCTCTGAAAGGCGACTGCAGAGCAGTAAGCAAAGCTAAAGAAGTGGTTGAGACTAAATTGAAAGAACGCGAAGACAGTCACACTGAGGCACTCACTAAATTGCAGAAAGATTTCAACCAGGTAAAAATGGCAAAATGCATTTTTATCTATTAATTAGCCTTGCGATAAGCAAGAGTGTTCCAATCGGGTGCCAGACTATTTTTTCCCGTAAATAATTTTGTTCACAGAATGGGCAAAATTAGAAACGGCAAAATTTAGCTTCAATTCATAATAAATTCAAACTTCTTTGTGTCTCCGGAACACTTGGAGATAACGAAAACGCCTGGGACGGCAAAAGTCTTCGAATATGACAGTACCTGTTTTTTTTTCAAACGGGAAATATTCCGTTTCAAAAAAATTGTTAGCTTAATTTTTTGTCAGCTTTTGTTTTGTCGGCTTAGTTGCCACATTGTAGAATTGTTTTTCTTTGTTTTAAGCACGTTATATTGTAGTTGCTTAGTGTTTTGTTTTTCTACTGCAGCTTGTAATTTTAGTAACTGTGACTTTATATTTTCTATTTTTTTTTCGCTTAAAAACTATTCTGACCAAATGATTTCGGCTTATGTTTTATCGGCCTAGTGAACATTTTTTAGTAGTTTCAAGGTAAATTTAATTTTAATGCTCTCCTTTGGATTGCACAAAATGATAAATTTTTTCATAGAAATTATAGTTTTCTATGACAACAATTTTTGTTTCCGGCTTTTTTTTCTGTTTTCCCCGCTTGATAGACTTCGGCCTATATTAAATCCGCTTTATGGCCTTATATTGCGTCTTTCGACAAGCGAGAAGAGCATATATGGGCGTGTGTGTTGAAAGAGCATGTGTGGGCGTGTGTGTGGGCGAGGGGACTTACACATTTTTGCCTTTTTACCGCTTGCTAGCAATATTTACCGCTTGCTAGCCTTATTGATTAAAAGTAGCCTTATTAATTTTGATAAATCTAGTTTTTTCGACATTTTTGAACCTTCGTGATTTTTTTCTGACTTAGCGGCTTTCTTGTTTTGTATCGCAAGTGGTGCGAATCTCAGCTTCATTTCTTCGTGAAATTTCTTTTTGATAGAAAAGGTTTTCGTTTCGATACAGAGACAGTGTCGAGAAGCTGTTGTTTTCGGCCCCCAATCACGATAACTTGCGTCATAAAAAAAAGCCTAGCAAAAAGTCAGCGCCTTATTGCAAAATTTTTAAATCAAATAATTTTGTTTTTAACTTATTTGTTACCAAGGACCTACAGTAGGCTATGTTGGGCTTCAAAATGTGTTGCGCACTTGCCGCTTTGTCAGCTCCGGTCTATCTTTGAATCGTTGTGAAGTGAAAAAAGCGGGTTTAGTGATTGAGGGGAATGTTCGAACTCCGCTTAATGCAATGAACTTGCAGGCGTCTCAGAAAATTGCTCTGAAAATTGAATCATTCGTATTAGCGTACGAGATTGTGAAAAATCGATGAACGTAGTTTGTTCAGGAAAATTAAAATAAAAAGATAGCGTGAACAAAGTTTTTTAAACAACAGAGGAAATAGTTTTTGTTTTTAGGAGACATTTGTTCACGCTGAAACGTGATTTTTTTTGCGGTTCGAATTTTGATTTCCGTTTAAGTTCACTTTATTTCTTTTGTTTAAAAGAATGCAAATTCCACTATCGAATAGCAAAACTGTAAAGGTCATGGAAAACGTAATCGGCTCCTAGCTTCGGACGTGTAATTTAATTTTCAGATGTCCAACGACAGAAAAACTTTGCATACTGATCCAGTTTATTCAAATTGCTCAATCATTACTTTTGCTAGAAATTCAAATAGCTTTAAGGCTATCTATTTTCTCATAGAAAATCGAACGTTAAGCTTTTTTTCAAAAAACAAGTCTTTTTTTGTTTACTTGCATTCATTGACATTTTTCCAACTGTCTTTTGGATAAGTTTATGCTAACGCTTGCGATTAGAAAGCCCTATCAAATCGCGATAAAGAGTTCTTTCAGGTTAACAACTTATTTAGCAAAGTGTTGAATCATTTGATAACTTAGGTTATAATAAATTCAAATTTCCAGGCGTCTCCGGCGCACTTGGTCTAGGCGTAACGACGCTGGGAGTTTTTCTTGTGCTCTTAGCACTTTTCACTGAAATTAAGATAAAATTCATACCTATATATTTTTTTACCAAATCCGTATGTTTTGTTGTTTCTTTTTTTTTTTTTTTTTATTTCGCTTGAAAGTTATAATTAGCCTGTTATTAGGGCTTACGTTTTTTTTCGGCTTTGCACCTAAATTTGCATTGTTTGAAGAGGATAATAGATTTGTGTCTTTCCGGAGGAAGGCGTAAAAATTTAGAATCTTGCAAATTTCATCACTTGCAAACGTTTTTTCACGACAAGCGTTTTTTTCCGCTCAGTGGGAGTTTGCCCAACTTGTGTCGGCTTAATTTCCGCTAGAAAAGTGTTTCTGAATATATATTTAACGACAGCGATTTTGTTAATTGGGGTTCTCAAATTGAACATATTTTGTGGCTTTTCTTTCATTATCTGTCTACTAGCTTGTAATGCTATTTGTGTGCTTTAGCAAGTGGTGCGAAGCTCCGTTTCGCCTCTGTACGAACAAACTGAACTCTAGCTGATAAACGGTGTAGCGGAAAGTAAAAAACTGCCCTCGTAATCTAATCCATACATTCAACGATCCGAAGTCAAACTGTGTGATAGAACCCTACCTAGTCATTCGATTTTGTTATTACGATTGTGTCATTTTTGAATGCACTAACAATTTTTTTGATCGTGAAAGTCGAAGAACGATAAAACCAGTCAAAATAGCTCATGAACTGATCAATTTTTTTCGACTTTTAAAAATCAATGGTTATATGTTTGGGCTGGTAGAATTGCGTAGTAGGAAAGACTCATACCACTACATCAGAGTTTTAAACGGTTTCTATCTTGATCTTACGAGGATAGCTAAAATCATCCATCATGAACATCAAAGATTCCAATACTACTACTTTTATTACCAATGCGTTTATTGTCCGTTTTCACATTGTGGCGGGGTTGGACATCCGGAAAGCGAGTCAGCAATGTTTCAGATGAGTGCATTCTGAGTAGCTTTCGAACTATTTACTTAAGCATAGCTCGAATGCTATTTGTGTGCTTTCGGAAGTGGTGTGAAGCTCCGTTTCGCCTCTGTACAAATAAACATAGTTTGTGTTATAGTATGAACTTTCTTTTTTTCAACCTAAGTCGCAGATATTGTTGCGATGCAATGGTTGCGAAAAAATGTGTTCATTTTGATCCAGCTTTTAAGTACAGCCAATGCTAATGAAAGGATATTAACACAGACTATTATATTACAAATAGCACATCAGCATCAAGGTATCATGGTTTTGTAGCGGAGAGGTAGGGAAGGAGACCAGCAGCAAAATAAGAGGGTTCGAACCTGAAATCTTGTAGACTCAAAGTTTTACTCATTCAGTTTTTTTTTCCAGTAGCGTTGTCGGTCATATTTTTGCTTGTGTATGGGAAGTGAAACTTCGCCTCTGTATAAATGGAGGCTAGCACGTTTTTCCATGCCATTCGGTCAAGGCAGTCTGTGGATCTGAGGCCTAAAGTCTTCAGTTGTCGTTTAACACCATCGATCCAGCGTTTTTAGGCCTTCCTGCAGGTCTTTTCCCTGGAACTGAAACATGGTCTGTTGTTTTAAGCGCATGGCCATTTTCTCTCCGGTGAACATAGCATTACCATCGTAGTCGCAACAGCTTTGTAGCTTGTCCAGATCAACAGGACCTGTCATTTTAATTACTGCTTCGTTGGTAACTCGTGACTCTTGTAAGTTTTCTTTATAAGTGAATCCAGAAATCCTATGCTGAGCTTTCATATCAGCACTTCTAAGAGAGCCGGATCTTGCCTTGGCCTGTGCCCAGGTTTCAGAGCAGTTCATAAGAACTGGTCGGAGATAAGCTCCGTAGATATGACACCTTGTAGTCAAATAAGTATCTTTATTCAGCAGCAGAGGCGCAATTTGCCGCCATTTCCTCTAGAAAGGTGCTATTCTGATCAATGATGCACGTATTGCGTCACTTTCAACGGAAATGATATCACCCAAATAGCAGAACTCTTCGACAGCACTGAGGGTTTCAAATTGATTAATCGGCAGAGTAGCATTCTCATCTATACTATATTTAAATGCGTGTAACACCTATCTCCCCATGTTTAAGCTATATCAATTTCGCATGTTCAACGAAAGAATTTTTGCATCTTTCAGGTATATCGTATATTGCCACTCTTGAGATTTTTTTCGTTTTTTTTTCAGTTTATGAACGCTAGGTTTATTGAAAAGCTCAATTGTAAGGCTGTAGCAATGATGCCAGCATGGAGCGGAGGAGGGAAGCGCAGTGTAGTGCAATGTAGAGGGTGAATTGATCCATCTATACATGATGTAACGGGCGTTTTTTTTTTCGTTTCAGCGTTATTTCAGCAAATTTGAAATTAGGTATCCTATGTTGGGGTGCTTTCAGGGTTGTTCCAGAGATCTGCTGTTTTTCTGATTTTTTCAAAAATTTTCAAAACAGATTTCTAAGGCCTCACAAAAATAAAAATAATATGCCGGGTATTCTCAAGTTTTGCAAAAGTTGCTTCCAAAAATTCCTGCTCAAGTCGTTTTAGTTTCCGGGAAATGACGTTTTTTATTATCTTTTGAATTTTTTTTTAATTCTTGGATTTAAAACACTTAAAAAATTTGAATTTTCGAACATAGTGGGCGCTGTCAGGCTACTCTCAGAGGCTACAAATCTTGTAATAAATATGAAATACCTGCTGGCAGAAAATTAAGAAGTTCAAAATACATGACACTAGCGAATTTTTTACTGAATCGTTTCGTACTTTTTTTTAACATAATACGATTTGCTTTAGCGAGCTAGCAAGCGTAATGTATTAATACGACTCTACTTTGTTTCCTATCTTACTCGCAAAAAAGCCTCATTTGGTAGCATTTTTGCAATGATCACGATCTGCAGCATAGGAAAATATATAGCATCTGTTCTCTGCTTATTCGTTGCTAGTTTGAGCGATAATTGGAAGGATTATTGCATCTTGGACAAACATAATGAGTATTATGTTTAAGTAGTTTCCTCAGGCTACTGCATTTTTTGCACTCATTGGTTACAAGAATTGCATATTGAGTTGGCGCCGACTCCCTTCAAACAACAAGTGAATGGATATTTTCCGTTTTTTGAGGAATAGACTTTTGGCCTGCAATCTAATGCTTTGTCTTATCCACATTGATTTTAAAACCGCGTTTTTGCAAAGCCTTGTTCCAAGTATCAAACCTCTCAATAGACTGACATTCCATTTCAGCGGATACACCAAGGTCATCTGCATATAGTATATCCCATGGAACGAAAGTTTCTCGTAGCATCTTAAATTTCTTTTATAAATAACAAAGTGCCGATCCTAAGTAATTCTTGCATCCTTGGGCCCGGCGATCTCTGGTTTTCGACTCTGTGTACTGGCACATTATTAGTTGTACCAGATTTTCGTGAACTCTCTGTTGCCTCAGAGCCCATGAGATCACTTCCCTGTGAACACGGCCGAAGGCTTTCTCGAGGTCAGCAAATGTGATGCAGGGGATGCATGCTGCCAACTGTCTATTACAATAAAAATTTCAAGTTTTGGAATATCATAAAAACAAGAAAATTTTGACGTCTTGAAGTTAGAATTTTGTAAAAAAAAAAAAAAAAAAAATCCAGAATAAAATACAATCTGTTGAATTTCAGGTCCAAATTCAGCTGAAAGCGGCCAAGGAACTGCTGAGAAAAGAACGTGAGCAGAATCAGACGCACTCGGAATCAGTCACAAGTAGCAAAGAGGAATACGAAGCGATGATAAAGAAAAAGGACGAGATGATTTCTCAACTAGAGACTGAGAAACAACGTCTAGAAAAACTGAACAGAGAGTTGGAGAGTAATTTAGAAAGCGAGGCAAAGTCGCTCGAAAGTGTGTACAAAGAAAGCGCTGATGAACTAAGGAAACTCCTCGATGAGGTGAGCTTTCTTTACAACTAAATTGTGGAGTTAGATGTTTATTTCTAAACCTGTTTCTTATGCTGTTGTTAAGGAAGCCAAGAAGCGATCATCTTTGGAACAAGAATGCTCAGAACTGAAAAGCAACATTGAGGATTTGAATTTAGATATCACGAATTGGTCCGTGAAGCATAGAAAACTACAACGGTGTTTCGAAAATGTAAGTGTGAAAAATCACGATTTGTTATCGAAAATATTGAAGGAAAACGTTTTTTTTTTTCAAACAGGTTTGTGTCAAACCGCAAGCACCAACATATGGCGTATCAAAACATCATCAAGAGAAAAGCTTTGTTGCAAGTTTAATTTTTGTTGCAGGAGCAAAGCTCAAACACTGAGCGTGAGAAGGAACGGGATAGACTCAAAGCGGAACTGGACAAGTACAAGAAGAAAGTGGAGTCACTTTCAACCGAGATCGAAATCAAAATCAACGAGACACGATCGGCAACTGAGCGAGATTTCGAAGACAAGGAAGCCGAGCTAAGAAACAATGTGACTGAACTACAGAAGAAGCTGCAAGCGGCAAGTAGAAATGACTCTAAACTGAAATTGGAATTGAAAGCATTGAAGGAACAACAGGTCTCGGAAAGCAACCAAGCTATCTTGATGATGGACAAAAAAATTGCTCAGATTCAACAAAAACTGGAAAATAAATCACCCAGGGAACAAAGTCGACAAGTGTCCTGCGCAGAAAAGGCTACTCAGGTATGAATCAGTAGCTCATTTTTCTAATCCGTTCTTTCATGACTTGAATGGTAATCGGTTTTAGACGCACTCCTCGGATGTTAGTGGAGACTCGCAAACACTGAGGGAGAAGCAAAAAACCCAAGATGCTGCATCAATGGATGAGTTCAGAACATCGGTTATCGACACTATCAAAATGATGAAAGGTTCTGTGATTTTGACCGCAGATTAACTTAGTGTTCTTGAAAAATTTGAATCTTTGCAAAATTGATCAAAAATGAACAATATTTAGCCGATGTCGTGGACTACGTGTTGACGAGGCAGGAAGAAATCTGTTCGGTTTTAAGAGATGAGATGCACAAAGATCAGCAATTGATGTCCCAGCAGATGCACCAGAACTACCTCTCTTCGCTGGAACATGTACTTGTCAACGAGCTTTTGCCGAAGTAATGCCTTCTACATCAATTATCTGGAATTCTTGAAGAAATTTGGAAGAAAAACGTTTGAATTTAATTTGTATTAAAGTGCACTGGGCCTGTTTTTTTTTGAGAACTTCGAAATCTATTCGGAAATTTTAGAACCTCCTTTCGAAAGTGGCCAAAGTTTTAAATTGACATCAATTTGTTTAGGGTTCAGCAGGACATGGAAGTCACTTCAGACATTCGCCACCTAGTGTCCACTATGTCCGAAAACATGAGCACAACTCCAATGACGTCATCTAGATCCAGTCCCCACTCGGGATCGAACTCGGCTGCCGAACCCACCTCTACAAAAGCTCACTCGCAGCAACTACAGCAACAGATGAACAATTTGCAAGAGGTAGCCCAGTTTCCAGCCCACATGATAGCCAATCAGAATGCTCCAAGGGCTAATGAGACGAAGATCAACAAAAATAGTCGCCCTGTGTCTGTAGATTTACACCCTGGCGACAGCGGAGATAACATGTCTTGTCACAGTCAGAGTAGTCAAAACGCGGCCAATGGGGTTTTTGTTGCTCCGCTCGCAATTAATAGTCAAGCTCAAAGTAGAAATCAACAGCAGTCTTCAAAGTCATCAGTGCGACGGGTAGGATTGAAATTCCTTCTTGAATATAGCATTGAATATCTAGGAAGAACTATACATGAAGTTTTTTTGAAGGCTGTTCCTAGCGAAACGTTCAAACAAGTAGTTTCACATTAAATCATGCACTTCAATGTATCACTAATTTATGTATGCTAAATCTCGGGAAGTTCCTCAAAAGTTCATATAGTTACTTAAAATCAATTCCGATGCTGTTTTAGGGTTTTCAAGTTTTAATTCCAATGCTACTTTTGGGTTTCACATTTTCGCATAGCAGTCAGCAATTAAGGTTTATTTCGCGAGCAGCCGCAAACTTCAAACATTATAACCGTTGCGATAAGCAAGGGTATTGAAATCGGTTACTGACTTTTTCACCTGTAAACAACTTTGTCCACAGATTTGCATGCAGTATATAATTGACATTCATACAGTATAAACGACATGCATGCAGTATATGCGCCCTATTTGCGCTCATTTGTCTATTACTCAAACTGTGCATCCTTATTAGTGGGTTTCCAATAAATCACTTTTCAAAATTTTCAAAATAATATTTCTTTGGTATTCATTGATTTTTTGACTTCGTCGCTTTCGGTTTTTTTTGTCGGCTTAGTTTCTGCTTTGTTTTGCAAGCAACTGCGTGGCTTATTTGAATGTTAATTATGGAGGTTAGAAGGCTAAATAAGATTTCGAACTTAAAGTTGTAAATTTACTACGTACATTTTTTATTGAACAATTTTTCGACCAAATCCATCGCCTTTTTTCCAATACCTTTTTCGTAATAATTTGGTAACTGTTTGCTTCAATTTTTAAATACTTTCATTTCATTTTCAAGAGAATTGATATAGTTCATGGTTTTCTTACACGCCAGTATTTTTTTAAATTCAATGGTATCTGGTTTTTCTTGTATTAAAAATGCTTGAAGTTAGTCTTAGGTTTATTTAATTTAGTTTAATGTGAGTTATTTACACAAGCAAAGCTTGTGTGATAGTATGAACTCTCTTTTTTTCAGCCTCCGTCGCAAATGTCAATGTTCATTTTGAAAGTGTTCTTTTATTCTAAGGGTATTAACACAGACTATTATATTACAAATGGCACTTTAGCTTCAAGGTATTATGGATCTATAGCGTAGAGGTAGGGAAGGAGACCCGCACCAAAATAAGGGGGTTTGAACCTGGGCAGGGTCGGATGTTTTTAATGAACTTTTTCGTATACTAGTTAAAATGCGTCCGCTCTGTAAATTGAGGCATGTTAGTTGGTGAATTTCTTTTTTTTTTCAAATTGACTGGTACGTCTAATGCGCCATAATTGGCTTTCGATACTTAGCACTTATGTAGACTCATAATTGGCGTGGGTCACTTAAGAAATTGTATAGACTCAAAATTTTACTCATTAAGTTTTTCCCAGTAGCGTTATCGGTCATATTTTTGCTTGTGTATGTGAAGTGCAACTTCGCCTCAATGTAAAATTTCATTTGAAATTGATTCAACGTTGCACTGTTTTCAAAACTTTTCGAAAAAAAATCAGAAATTTGGAAAAAAAGTCATAAATTTGAAAAACACTCATATGTTTTGAAAAAAAATTATGATTTTTCAGAATGCTTTTTTACAATTCTGTTATGACTATTTAATCTACGAAAGATAGTGGCGAATGTCGTACTATATTCAAGAGTTTGATTTTCCGGGCTGAAATTTTTATGAGAGATTTTTTTCTTTCATTAACGGGCGTATTTTTTGTTGTAATCTTGTTCATCAACTTTTCATATTTGATAAGTTTGACGTCTTTAGAATGTATTTATAGATGTTAAAAGTGTTTTTGTTTTCTGGAAGTTATTTTCTGACAATTTTTCAGCTTTGCATTTTTTTTTGAAATTTTGGTTTTTCAATTTCGTTTTTCATTTTAATCTTAGTTGATAGCAAGCAATATATGGGGCCTTTCTTATCGTCAAGTTTGCCCGTTGGACATGCAGGTTGTTTGGTTGCATATTTTTAGGCAAAGTTTTTGAATTTAATCATGAATTTTTAGATCTTTTGACCGAGTCTTTTTTCTTATCGTTTCCATCTAGTTGTTATGAGAGAGAAATGGATGGAGCCCGAATCCTTTTAAAGTGTTAGTTAATTGATTTCTACAAGAATTCAAATAATTTTATTGCTCATATTTTAGCCAACAATTTCTTCAATTTGTTTTTTAAATTTTCGTTTGAGACATATCTTTTGAACTTCTATCATTTTTATCGCAAGTGGCGCGAAGCTCAGCTTCGCCTCTGTGTAGTATAGTCAATCATCACTCCATCATATTGCTGTTTTCGGAAGCGAAGCGTAGTGCATTATTACGAAGTTTTTTTAAAAAACCTAACTAGCGAATAAAAGTGCTCATTTGGTTGCATTTGATATATTTCAATTTTATCATGTTTAAGACTATTTAAGCATAAGCAATTCAATAGCATGCGTTTTTGTTTTATTTTTGGCTAGTTTTAGGTCCTGTTTGAAGAAAACAGGTATAATGAAAATGTATGAAATTTGTTGTTTTTCTCAAATGTTTAATGCGCAAATCTGAGATGAAAAAATTCAATAAAAAAAAACAAATCATGAGATCTCCCCGTATCAAGCGGTTTTTGCCTAAGTTAGGTAGAAAAAAACGTATGGCTTCAAAAAGCCTATTTTTGACATTGTGGTTAATATTAAAACTTTTGTCAAATATTACCCTGCCAAATCGGAGATTCAGGGTTCAATCGAGAGAAAAAAAATCATTTTTGTGAATTTATGCTGCGCAAGCGGCTATCCCCTGCCTTTTGGCAAAGGAATGCGTAGCGTAGTGTGATGGTACGATGCAACTTTTTAAATGCCCATAGGTCCTAAAATAAAAAAGCAGTCGCATAAGTCCCAAATCTTTTCAATTGGTCAAAAGACTAAATTAGCCGAGTCTCGGTTTAAAGTCCCCGGTAGCTTCGCGGCGATAACAGGCGGTAAACTCCGTGTAGAGTCTTACCCTTTGGTGGCAAGCTCGGAACACGTTGGCGCGGCTGCGGCGGTCACTATTCTGCAGCTTGAAATTATGCAGCTTGAACAGTAAACAATGAATCCATAAACCCGTTGGCTCAAATTTCAACCAATCAGAATTCAAGAAGATAAATTTTGGGACTTATGCGACTCATTTTTTATTTTGGGAACTATGAATATTGGCACCTATGGAAATTCACCGCTTTCTCGCGTGTTTGCGAATTTGCAGATTCGCCTCTGTGTCAATTATTATATTAGATTATCGTATTGTTACGCAATTGGACTATCCGTACTAAATTGGGTGGTATTCGTACTTCCGATACGCATGTCAATTATGTGTTTCAAAAAATAAATTTCAATTATTTTTCAAAAGCAAGTATTCGATTATGTTTTAGGATCGTCCTGTCGTTAGAAAGAAAACCGCAAAAGAGCATCTGGATACCAGGAGGCGCAGCGAAGAGTTGAACAATATGGTGTTGGAGCAGCAGCAACTGCAAGCTGCTCAGCTTAACCAGACACAAGTCCCTTACGTCAATGGACTTCTGGACACAAGTGTTACTGGAACGTCTCATCAAAACGAAGTATTGGCGATGAACGATTACACATCAAGGTCAAATAGTTTACCTCGTAGGCTGCACCAGTCAAACTCCATGATGTCCATGAAGAATGTATACTCTGACATTCAGCCTCAAACTAGTCAAAATCATCAATATCAGAGGCTGACAAGTAGAGAAGAGAACCCGGCAGTGCATAACTATAGTTTTACAAGCACTCCGAGGGATCAGTATTTTGCTACCTCTCAAACATCCAATCATACAGTCAGTTATCGGCCCAGTGGAACTACCTTCACGCCAGCCAGAGTTCCAGCATCTACTAATCCCTACTTGTCAGGGTCAAGTAGTGCCACTTTTGCAAGCTACCCTGCCTTCCAAGTCTATCATGGCTCACCCTCAAATCACTCAGAAGTGTCTACAGATACATATGCCAATCTACCAAAAACTTTTTCGATGTCTCGTCCTAGAGCGAGCGTAGACGTAAATGCGCCTAGCATAAGTTTAAGCAAAGATGGTCCAAGTAAAAGTAGAACATCTTCGAGTTCAAGGTTATTGCATAACTCGAACTCGCTGCGTTTTAGTCACAGCTCAAACTCTGGCTACTAGAATTTTTAGTTATTAGCATCTAGTTGAAGTTCAATGGAACGCAATATTGATTTTTTTCATAAGGTTTCTTTGATCATAATTGTGACTTATCAACAAAAGAAATTGTGGCTGGTAGCAATCATATTGCGGCTCTGGTCTTAGAACTTGAGATTTTGTAAGTTTTTCTCTGCGTTGAACTGGACTTTTGCTGCGTACCTGTGTTTTTGTTTTGAACGTGACCTTTAGATTGATTCGTCTGTTTTTAATGAACATATCTAACTCTGTAAATAATAGTTTCGTGTTGATTAATAGCTCTCTTGTGAAATGTGTGATTGGATTGCATTGAATTCATCAATTGTGTACCATATGTAAAAATGTTTATGTTCTTTTTGAGTTCCAATTAGCAATACACATTCTATTTTCGTCTGTTCTTTTTTGCTACATCTTCTAATCAGTCAAAGAAGTCATTTATCTGAAAATAAAAAGATGTGTATTAAATCTATTTTTAAGGTCAAAATGATCTTCTCATCTTACTTGCTGTATATTGACAAACCAAATTTGATCCTAGACAGCACTACAATCTTTTTCCATCCAAGTGCAGCAGAGTACACTTCTATTTCACTTGCCCTTTGAACTGAGATTGGATACCATATCACAAATCTGGTGCTGATTAGTAATGGAACAGCAGGAGAGATGCAATAGTGCAGCTGCAGTTGAAAGTAGTGAAGAGTCACGCATTGTATCCAGTGGGGCGAATGAGTTCAGTGACTGGCACTACTTGAACCCAGAGGACTGCAATGAATCTTCCGACTCTGCGGTGAGGATAGATGAGTTATGACTACATTTTAAAACTAAAGCAGCACAGCTTAATTTTTCTCTTTTCCTGCATTACGTGGAAGGGTTTGTAGTATCGATGTTATTTAAAGGCAGATTTAAAAAAAAACGATGTCCTGAGATCAATAAACTTAAATGACTGAGCTTCATTTAAGCTTTATAGTCACTAAAATCAAAGAACATCTCAATTTGTGCATGTTGAAACATCCACTGAACCAGTCTCAGGGTCACTAGAGATGTACGATAGCTATCAATTGCCGCAACTTCCGTTGTTCTACAATAACTTCAAGTCTCAGTGCTTGAAACATCGCTATCTTATCTTTCAAAATAAGTAATTAACTTAAATCACGAGCTTGGATTAATAATCGAGATAATAAATGTGACTTGTGTTTGAAGATGTCAGAAGCAGAGGATAGTATAGAAGGTGAAGATATTGAACTGGCAGCTCTGTCGGCTGATCCAGATCATCAGCATGTTAGTTTGGTGGAAGAAGGTGATGCGTTCGTTCCCCTTAATGCACCAAGTGATGAGTCGCCCGGCAATAGCACCAGGTTCGTTAGCGTTTTCAAATATTATGTGTCGTGAAATCTTATTGCTCATACGATGATGGAAATCTTTCTGGTTCGCCCACCAATCAAATCGAATGATACCTGGAGTATATCGATGTCAAAAAAATTAGCTATTTGTTGCGCACCGATAAACTCAAAATATTGTTTCAGACGTCGTTCAGTTTCCTTCTCACGCACAGCTGTTCCGGTGTCCTCGAAACATCTGGCCAACATTGTCAATTCAGGTAAAGAGTGGCAATTTTTAAATCTACTCGTTTTATTTTATCTAGGGGCGGTAAAATCTCGGGGGGGGGGGGGGGGGGGTCAGGTTATCAAAACCCCAGAATATTATGAAGACCCTAATCCTAATTGCACAAAAAATTTTACGGCGCAGGAAAAATTCAGATGTAACAGGTCAACAAAACCGTTTTTAGGAACTTTTTGGAAAATTTTGACCAAAAATTGCTTTTTTTTCGGCGCGAGCTCCCCTTCCAAATTAATATATTTTGGCGGTTGGTCAAAGGTTTAAGGTTGGTCAGAACCCTTTGGTTGGCTAGCGTTCCGTATGCTATAGCTAACCTTACACCATCGCTGATGATGATTATGTCATGATACCACAGACTTGCTCAAAAAATAGACATTTTGAGGGTTCGAACCAAGTAATGTTCCATCGAACGAAATAGGTTTATAAATTTATCAAATGTCCAGGTGCGGAATCATCTGATTTTGTGACCCTGGATCCAAATGAGCGTCACACAGACAGCTCCCCAGGTCCCCCATTCATCCGACCAAATGACGTCACTGGATCCAATGAGGAGACGAGAGATGACGTAGAGGGTCCTTCCGGATGTCACGATTTGTTTGTGAATGTCAAACAGGGAGGCATTCAGAATGGTAGGTGTTGTTTTTATTTCCTGAGCATGGAGATAGCTTATATCCAGTTAAGAATGCCCATTGAGGATTGTCTTCATTTAAAGAAAAATAACCGATAAAAATTAAGTATTATTTTTTGAACAGGCTGAAAAAAGTACCGAAAGTTTGAATAGTTGATGAGCTTTCAATTTGCTTTATTACTAAGAGTCATGAACTTAGTGAATAATCTTATATATGTCTCGGTGATTTTGTTAATTTTTTCTTCAGGGAAAAGTCTGAAAATTTGTTCAAGCTAAATTTTGATTTTTTTTTGCGGTTTGACTTTTGGTTCACGTTATTTTTTTTTAGTTGAATGTAAAGGTCACGAGAAACGCGATCGACTTCTAGTTGCGAAAGTGCAATTTAATTTTCAGATTTCCCAGCGGAAAAATACCTGTTTACCCAGTTTTCTCAAATTAGGTAGATTTAGTAAAAAAAAAAGTGTCAATCTTGAAACTCAAATAGCTTAAGGCCATGTATTCGAATGTTGAGATTTACTTGTGTTCATTGAGAATGTTTAACGGTATGTTGGCTATGTTTCTTTATTTTCCGACTACTTGTTGGCTATGTTCGCTTGGTGGGAGTGTATGCACACATGCGAACGAAGCATGAAAGAACACGACGTTGATCTTTTTTTCTGTTTCCTTGCTTTCATGACTCTTCAAACTGTCTGTTGGCTATGTTTTTTTCCCTATCAATGCGTATCTTTCCTTTTATGAAAAAGCGGATAAGTAGTGGAACACGGTTTAGGTCCATTTCGAGTATTTGAGCAAGTTAACAAGTGAGGCGTTTTTTGTTAAAAAGAAGCTGGAGATGTTGAGACCATCGGCGAAGGAGACGAGGACGGATACCAGAGCGAGTGCTCGAGCTCCATGGCCACCAACAGCCACGCGCCGTTCACTCCCGACCAGCACCATCAGAGGTCCAGGAACAACAGCGAGAATCAGAGTCTCACTAATTTCCTCATGGGTCCGAGGTTCTTCGTCATTCTCCTCATTGCACTCATTAGTTTGGGCTTGGGACACCTTATCGGTGGGTTTTCTGAACGAAATAAAGTTCAGAGACAAATTGATTAACTATTCGAAGAGACTTCGTTTTAGGTCAAGGGAAATTGCATTATGATCAAGACGACGTGAAAGCGGCATCTGAACTGCGGGTAAGTGACATCTCATCAAATTACTCGAAGGCTTGTGAACATAAAACTTAATCCGCAGGTCAACCAACTGGATAAAAAACATGCTCGAGCAAGGAATCAGCTAACGGAATCATTTTTCCTGCTGTTTTAGGAGGCACAGCAGATGGAGAAGATCAAGTCTGTTTTGTCGGAACAGCTGTCAACATTCAGCCAAGAACTGCAGGCGGAAAGGGTAGAGTGGCAGAAAAGACTACAAGATGGTTAGTTTAGTTAATCCATCAGATTCTCTCCTGCTTCAAAGTCAACTCATTATTCGCTTAGAAAAATCAAATTGACTGAGCTTAGGGAAGGCTAGGGACCCTACAGTACAAAAAATATCAAAAAATAATAATGTTTTTTTTTTACGGGAAAGAAACCTTCACGACAGCACCAAAGCGGCAAAATATCGAGAAAATGATGTCAGTTGATTAATGATTTGTTTTCGAGATTTTTCAGATTTGCAGGTGACCGAAATTACTTTTTGAATTTTCTTAAAATGGGTTATAAAGGTAATTCTCAACGACTATTATTTACACAAGCATAGCTTGTGTTATAGTATGAACTTTCTTTTTTTCCAACCTAAGTCGCAAATATTGTTGCGATGCAATTGTTGCGACAAAATAATTTCATTTTGAAAGTGTTCATTTGGTCCCGCTATTAAGTACAGCCAATGCTAAGGATATTAACACAGACTATTATATTACAAATAGCCCTTTAGCTTCAAGGTATCATGGTTCTGTAGCGTAGAGGTAGGGAATGAGACCAGCAGCAAAATAAAAGGGCTCGAACCTCAGCAGGGTCGGATGTTTTTAATGAACTTTTTCGTATACTAGTTAAAATGCGTCCGCTCTATAAGTTGAGGCATGTTAGTTGGTAATTATTTTTTCAAATTGACTGGTACTGCTAATGCGTCATAATTGGAATGTGTCACTTAGCAATTATGTAGACAGTAGACTCATAATTAGCGTGCGTCACTTAAGAAATTTTGTAGACTAAATTTTATTCATTCAGTTATTCCCAGTAGCGTTGTCGGTCATATTTTTGCTTTTGTATGCGAAGTGCAACTTCGCCTCTGTGTTTTAAGAGTGATGAACATATAGGTCTTGGTGATTATTTTTGTTGTTTTTCAGGAAAAAGTTTAAATATGCTTACGCTCAGTTTTGATTTTTCGCGGTTTGACTTGTGATTTCTTTTTTAAGTTCAGTGCATTTCCATTGTTAAAAGGAAGGCAAACTCCACTATCGAACAGCAAAGTGTAAATGTCACTTCTGATTTAGAAAATGGAAATTAATTATCAGATTTCCCAGCGAATCAAAGGTTTTACTTATTGACCCAGTTTTCTCAAATTGGTTTAGTTTTAGCAAAAAAGTCTCCATCATAAATTATTCTACAAATACTAAAAGCTTTAAGCCATCTATTTTCTCGAAATTCAAAAATTGAAAGGTTTTTGAAAAAACAAGTCAGTTTTTTTTCAAGTTTTCTTGCGTTTATTAGTCTTTTCCTACTGTCAGTTGGCTCTGTTTTGCTCATCTAATGTGGAATTTTAGCTGGTATTAGTTAGTGATAATTTTATGGTGATTGTTTTCTAGCAAATACTCTGGTCACTCAAATGAAACATGAAGCTGGATCGGAAGAAAGACAGCCAACTAAGGAACAGGAACATGCCAATGAGGTTCATCTTCGTGCCTTAAAGGACATAATTGATAAATACGGACTTGTAGAAGAAGACAAAAAGGCCCTGCAAGATATCATTTTGGAAAAGGTTGATACTAAATCAATGTCAACTGAACCTAATATAATTGAACAGATGTCTGAATCCCTGAACGCTACAAAAAAGTTTCTGTACTCATACCTCAACAACTTTCAGACTGCTTTCAAAAATCTGAACCTCACTTCAGACAGTCAAACTAACATGACACAGGATAATATTTTGAACGTGTCAAAAATATTGAGCAT